TTGCGACCGGCTTTAAATTGAGCCGACTTCATCTCGCATCTGTATGTCAGGCAGAAGTTCGTTGAAGGTTTTTTATATAAAAAAAAAAGTTTTTAAGTCATTTTAGCTGGAACTTCTAGTTTCAAACAAGATTTAAAGTGGTTGTGAAAAAAACAATTTAAGTGACCAAGAGATTTTTTTTGTTGCTGATTTTTAAAAAAAAATTTTGTTTTTTTTTTACATATATTTGAAATACAGGATGTTTCGTAATCACCAGCTTTAATGTGTATTTTCAGATTCCTTTTCGAAAATGAGGTAGAAAAGAAAATGCAAAGAAGTTTCAATTTAATATTTGAGCGTGTAAGAACAGAAACGCTTTCAAAATTTGCGGAATCTCTAGCGATGTAGGAGGGATGATAAACACCAAAACTTTTACAATTGTCTGGAAAACCTAGGAGGTGCTTCTAAGAATTGCATTTTAACTCCTACTTGCTTCCTTGGACATTCAAACAGGTTTTAAAGTCTTCCATCCCACCTTCTTAGTTGTGATTCATTATACTTTGATATCTTTTTTTATATATTAAACTGAATTTGCAATTAATATTATTAATATTTAGACAAGGAAAAACTAAAATGATAAACACCAAAACCTATCCAGTTGTCTAGTGAAACTTGGAGATGTTTCTAAGAATTGCATTTTAACTCTTCTTTTGCTTCATTGGACAATCAAACAGGTTTTATCGCTTTCCATCCCGCCTTCCCAGTTGTGATTCCTTGTACTTCGATAGCTCTTAATATTCTAAACTGAATTTGATATTAATATTATTAATTTTTAAGCAAGGAAAAAACAAAATTTAGCTTCTTTTTTTTCCAAAATCGCTCACATATAGATGTGAAACCTTTAATTACTATATTTTTTCTTCATATTTAGCAAGGATTCTGCAAACGTAAATTAAGAGCAATAATTATTGAGTATCTCGTATATATTTGTATCCTCCCTGATATTCAAAATCCTCCAAAACTAGGTATTTTAAGTAGATCTTAAAGATTAAATTTTGTGAGAAAAAAGTTAGTCAAGTATGAATATGAAAGAGTTAACAAATGGGTTTGCAATGCTACAACAATCGATTCTCTAAATTATTTGATTATAACAAGGAAGTTTGGTTATTTTAAAATGCTATTGATTCTGAATCCACCGTTTGACGATGGTTAATCATTTTCTTAAATAAACTCAATTTCCTTTCCTTAAACGTGATAACTGATCTATAAAGATGATATTAAAACTTTGGCGTTTTAACACTCAACTCATCACTGATAACCCATTAGAAAACAGATCTTTAGAGATCATTAGAATTTAAAAAAAAAATACACCTTTTACAACTTTTCTACCGAATAAACGGATTTTCACAAACTAAGTGCCTAAAATTGGCACTTAGCAAGGTTCAAAAGAGTGATCTCAAGTATGCTAATTAATTGTTGCTAACTATTAAGGAAACAGAAGTAAAAACTCTTTTTTTCTGAAAATGTACACACACACACGCATTTGGATTTTTATCATTAAAATATGAGGGGTAGTCGAAATCAGGAAAATGTTGGCCCAAGGGTTTGTTTAGGAGAGCTATCAAAATTTTGGTCTCCTTAATATTAATTTCACTTTCGGCGTATTTCCGTATCTCACGAAGTTTTTAAGCAAATTTAAATATTTTAGCACACAATTATAAAATTTGTTCATCCATGTAAATAATAATTTTTAGTAATATATTTAATTTAATAAAGTTCAAAAACTTATTGAATTATAAGGAAAGCAGATTTTTATGCCATTTTAAACTATGCAATTCTAAATGAAAAAATTTGAGTGAATCAGTTGTATAGTTTCTAAGTCATAAAATTTCAGAAAAAAATTTTTTTAATTTTTTTTCCCGCAAGAACTAAGGAACTAATTTCAAACAAATTTTGCACTGTTTCATTTAAAATTACTAAGTTTGAAAAGATGCGTAAACGTGTATACCTTACTACTCAACATTTTTAGACCCTTATTAAATAAAATAACAAAAATAAAAGTAAACTAATTTTCTAATTGCGTGCAAAAATTACTTGGATATTTATCGTGGTGGTATGGTGAAATACGCAAAACGTGAACATTTAGGGACCCAAACTTTCAATTGACGAAACTATCGGGACCATATTTTCCAGATTTCGACAAACCACCGTATTTTGAAAGTCAAAAATCCAAATCCGTTGGAAAAAAATATATATATTTATTCAGTTTTTAAGTACATTTTTTAGTTTGATTTTGCAATCTTATTATTAATTAGCACTAATTAATTAGCATATTTGAAGTAACCTATTAAAAACTATTAGGATCGGCACGATTATTAAAAAAATCATAATTTTCATGGAATTATTGTTGGATAAACACATTTCATAATTGTGTACAAAAGTTTTTATATTCGCTTGAAAACTTCTCGAGCTAAGGATAAATACGCTGAAAGTGAAATTAACATTAAGGAAACCAAAATTTTGACAGCTCTCCTAAATAAACTATTGGGCCCATATTTTCCAGATTGCTACTACCCCTCATACTTTGATCTTAAAAAAAAATCCAAATCCGCTCCCTCCCCCCCAAAAACGTATTTTCATTCAGAAAAAGAACATTTTCATATTTCTTTCTGTATCTTTATTAACAATTAGCATATTTGAGGTCACTCTTTTCTTGGCTTTATAAATGGCATTTAGTTTGTGAAAATCCGATCATTAAAAGAAAAGCTATTCAGGGTAAAAACTTGAAATTGATTTTCAAAATTAGAAATGTGTTTTTAAATTATTTTTTGAATTCAAATTTATTATTTTTGAATTCAAATTTATCATTTTTGAATTCAAATTTGTTATTTTTTAAATTAATTTTATTTCAAAATTATTATTCTTTTGTAGTAGAATTTTCTTGAAAAGAGTGTATAAAAAACTTAAAAATAAGGATATATTTCTTTTCCTTAAACACATTTACATAGTATAATTATTTCTCATTTTGTCCTCTTATGATTTCATAATAAAAATGCTATGATAAAATAATTTTTCCATTATTAAAGCAAATGTGTTGAGATGAAAAATAAAGAGGCTTTCTCCTAGACTAAGAAGAATGTGTCATGATGAAATTTTGAAGTGCCCATCTGCTTCTTCTGTTTAGCACTTAACAATTCGATTACAAAGACACAAGAACACCTGAGTGCGGCTGTCCTTTCTTAGTGTTTTAAAGAATTGATTTCTCTAATCTGAATACATAACTTATAAAGAAAATGTTCTTTTTAAATATCTCTTCTACGAGTTGATTTCAGCACATTACTCTACAGTACTTAGAACGAAACCACATTATTCAAATGTTGATAACTGGTGTGAAGTCACTTCGTGGAAAGTTGTCCAAAACAAATAGCTTTTGCAATGTATCAGAAACTGTTTCAAAATTAGTTTCTTTTACACTTTCTTACACAAATAACTTGTACTAGAAACTACTGTGCAAAATAATAATACAAAAAACAATCTGCTAAATGCTATATTATTAATTTTTAACTTCAGGTTAGTTGAATTGGGAGGACAATATGTAAATTGCACAAAGTTGTAAAATTGCTTCTTTTTTTGTCGTCAGATGAAATGAATGATTTTGAATAAACAATGAAGGAATTAACAAATAAATTTATTTAATTACGCGCAGCTAAAAAATTTTTTTAAATTTTCTAAAAAAAAAGTGTATATATTAAGTTTTTCCAAATGTTTACAATTTAAGAAAGTAATTAACTAATAAGCAAATTTATAATTATTGATTCTGCTCAACTAAAAAGGGGAATTTTTAAATTTTCTAAAACTATAGATAATACTCTTAAGTTTTTCCAAACATTTACAATTTAAGAAAAAATAAGTAATTAACAAATAAATTTATAAATATTGATTCTGCCAGATTAAAAAGGGGGATTTTTTAATTTCCTACTATATAGATATTCTTAAGTTTTTTTCTAAATCTTTACAATTTAAGCCTAAACTGATCCGTGATTACTGATCGCATAGTGAGTGGCAAGACAACAATGATCTTATGTAATAGTTTTCAAAACAACCAAAAATGTTTCATTGTGTAGACAAATTTTTTCACCATTTCGAATTAATGTAAATTAAATTGACAAAACTCAAAATTTAAACATAACTTATTGAAAAGTTCCTGAACAATAATTTAAAAATGTCTAATTTTTTTATTTCCCAGGAATTTCTTAGTTTTCGGCTTTTGTTGTTACATTAAATAAGATGTAAAAAATTTAAAATTAAATAAAAAAATTACTAAAAACTGTTTGTTTACATGGACTTTTCTTTGGATAAACAAATATAGTAATTGCGTAAAAACTATATTTCGACTTGTGGGGTTAGATAGATTAATAGGATTAAACATAGAAAATAAAAAGTTTGTAAATTAATTTGCAGAAAAGTATAAATATATTCTTGTGACAGCTATGTTACAAACCATTTGTATGCCACGGTACCAAAAACTATAACTTAATATTTTAAATCAATGTAACCCAAATGTTAAACACCATTCTATTCAATAGTTATATGCCAAGCACAATATATATGTCCCTTTACTGGCTGCGAGATAAGACCAAGTGGGTCAATATGAGCCGATACCTAGTATTCACTAAAATTGACATTATGGTATAAGCATACACTATTCTTTGGAGAAAATTTTAAAAAATTACTAAATCAAACACGGAAATATGATTTTTTCTTTTATTAAATAAATAACAAATATTGATACATTTAAAATAACACAACTGTAAAATATCAAATCAATAATTCATTTATAAAGTCAAATATATATACAAGTAAAGGACATAATTGTAGCACAATATTAAATTATACTAATCAATGAAATGAAAATTTAAAGTTGCAGTCAGAGCATAATACGTGCAACTAAAATGATCCCCGGACACACATCCATTCTAACAAATTCAAAAGGAAAAAAAAAAGAAAAAGAGTACAACTAATTATTGCCACCTTCATTCTTTATTTCCTCATAGTTATAAACAAAAAGTACAAGAAGCATATCATTAAACAAAGAAAAAAATCTAAAACAGTTACGTTTTTTTTCAGATTGTAAAGAAGGCAATTAGTATTGACCTAAATTGCAAATAGTAGTATGTACCTTTTTTTCTATCTCAAAAAATTGTTTTTTTATTATTTCCTCCATAAGATATGATCCCAAGTATTAAAAGCAAAATTTTTATTCTACCCATAAGGATTTGTGGTCTTTCCCCTTTATATATATTTTTTCGAATCTTTCATAAAAGAAGTAAAATATTCACTTTGAAGGATACAAATGTAAGTTTAAGTGAAAATCAAATCATAATCTAGGTCGATCAAAACAAAAAGTAGTGAAAAATATCCTCAAAATTCACTTCACATGTCGAGTAAGACTTTCCTTAAGTACAGGCTTTTGGCTTCATTCTCAAATAAACTGGTTTCTCAATACAATATAACTTTTGCTCTTATCGACCTTAAGATATGCCAGAATATAATAAAAAAATTTCACACTGTGGTCACTTATTTGTTATCTCAAATGAGAATATCTTTTAATTTCATCTTTTCGATACATCGAAAATTATACATCGAGGGCAATGATTATGGAACACTTTGTATACATAAATTGGTCTAAATTCATGAGCATGCATAATTTTAAACGTTTTTAATCATACCCAAATTTTTTCAATTTAGCGACCATACTTTCACAAATTCTAGTAATCCAATTAATTTTATCTTGAGTAAAAAATGTTTAAGATTGATTTTTTTCTGGATAAAAAATGTTTCCAAACTAAATGTTGAAAGAGTAATACTAAGGCTCTCTGAAGATAAAAACAAGCTAGTTCATTAAATCTTGAATGAACACATTCTCATTGTTTTAATAAAAGTTAATGAAAATAGACTACAAATTAGGGAAAGACAAAGATACAGAAATACTACTTTAAAACATTTACTATTAATAATTTTGAACAAATCTGCAAATGAGGAATAAAAAATTAAATTTTTCTTTGGATATCAAAATAAACTAAATTAGTTATGTACTAAAATTAGCATAATGCAAATTTTGTAAAAAGTTAACTGTTATTGTTTGATTGTTATAAGCTAACTGAGTGTCAGTAATTCTTTTGAAATATATGTTACTGAAAACAAATACTCCAAGTTCTAGAACCTAAATCAATCATGACATAATAGGAAAATCAAAAAAAAAATTTAATCTTGATTCAAGAATTTAAAGATATAAGTGAAGCATCTCATTTTTTAAATATTTCTTTCAATATTATTGTTTATTCTGGAGTGCAGAGACTTGGCCAGGATTTTCTTTTTGAGAGGGTGATATTCTACAAATGTAAATTTTAAAACAAATATATAATACTGTACTTAAAACTGTTTCTACTTTTTTTCTAAAAAACAGTAGAAAACTAAGACATATTTATTTTCAGAAAAATGTAGCAGCAGTTCTGTCAACAAACATCCTGGTTATGTCTCTGCTTGGAAGAGTGGCTGCAAACTATCATAAAAAGAACCTAAACACTGTCACTAAAATTAGAAATATTTTCTCATTTTTATAATTGAAAATAATATGTTAGCTCTTTAATGAATATGATTAGAAAAAAAAAACATTCATATTCCAGTGAATAACTTTCAGCAAATAAATTATGATGGCAATTCAGAAAGTAATTATTTTGCTGCAATCATGCAGATAAGATCTTTTACTATCACTTGAAGGCAATCAAAATGCTTTGAACATGAACACCAATCATGTCCCTATAAAAACTCTATTCTGCATAAAACTTAGACTCATCAAGTATAGAACTTCTTGAAACTATTTTTTATTATAACAGATGAATGTACATAGAAAACTGACAATTGATAATTTAATCATAAATGTTTGTAACAAGATTATTACTGACATTCATCCTGGAAGTTTGTTACGTCTTAAAAAATCTCATGAATTACTATACAATATCTCAATTAGCAATGTTTAAACTGTACACAGTACTAACTTCACTTCCACCTTTGGCAAATTTTCGGTTCAAAAAAAATTTCTTTCTCTTTACTTGGCAAGTTTTTCAGAAATGGCAAGCGTACATAATAGCTTGATGCCCTTAAGTAACAAAAATGGAAACTTACTTTTCAAATTGCCTACATATTTTACTTTTTTGAAAGCTTTTATGGCAGTAATTACCTAGAGAATAAGGTTGAACAAAGCACAAAAAAGATCATAAGTTTGCTCAGAAGTCACAAAAATCCTAATGATTACAAATCTTAAATTATAAAACTAAATTGTATTAGTAAATCAATAATAAATTTTGCATTCAATTGCTTCCAGTTTTAAAATTTATTTAATTGTGCTTAACTAAAACTTAGCTTTTTTAATAATTATTCCAAGTGCCCTCCATATTTAATCAGGAGTTGCATATAGGTAGGAGATTATAATGCAAATAGCTTTTAAACGTGTAAAGAGAGGGAAATGTAAAAACTGTAGAATCTTTTATGAAACACACTATTGTTTAAAAAAAGTGAAAAATCTGAATTTAATATTTTTTTTCACAATAGTGATTTTTAATTATATAAACATTTCTGAACTTCTTGTATCCTTAGAAGCAAAATAGATTTTAAAATAGGAAAGGTATATGATTGATATAGCATTATTTTGGTGAAAGACAAACAATTTACATGAAGTAATTTGCTTACACTTACTGTTTCAGTAAGGTTACAACAAATTAAATTCAGCAAAATTTATTAAAAATTAAGATTTAATGCAAAATTTTCTAATAAGGTCAAATTTCTAGAAGTGAAATGTGCAGAAATTAATGTTTTAATCTTACATGAGATTAGTACAAACTGTTTCTTTAGGCCCAATCTGCAAAGCGATTGGAAAAAAACTATAAACGGAAGGGGAAAAAAACATGACTTTTCTATAATGCTGAAAAGGTATTAAACAGTTCCTTCATTATCTATATTTTTTTTTCCAAAATCATGTGTAATAACAAAAAGGACTTTTTAATAGCCCTCTTAAGAAATCTGACTATTGCAAAATCAAACACATGCGACTTCATACTAATTAAAAGTTAATTCCATTGAAATCAAACTCCCTAATTAACCACTTTAATTATAATTTATAATAGGATCAATTATTTAAAAAATATTTTTGACAGTTTAAAATTAAAGTAAACTGGAAGACAAGTTGGGGAATTCAAAAACTGCATTATTTTTGTTTTGCACAAACCAGACAATCACATGGAGATTTTTCTTCTTATTAAAAAGATAACATATGATGAAAATTGGGACTGTTAAATGAGTTACCAAAATCTTTTAATGCCATTAAAAAAAAACTCAACTAAATGAGTTTGTCAAGGGCAGTGGAACCACTTGCTTTAACTTTTATTTTCTTAAGAAAGAAAAAATTTAATTAAAATTAAAGCTTTTTTTTTTTAAAAAAAAAATAGTATTTAACAAAAAATCAACATTTAAATAAGAAAAATTTGCTACATTTTTTGTTAATTCTTAATAAATCTGTTTAACAAAGACAATTTAATGAGTGTATTGTAGGTTTTAAAATTTTTTAATAAATAGGGTACTTAAAATGCTTTAAAAAAGCTAGAACACAAAAAAAATATGTTTTAATTATCAATTTGTTTCTAAAGAACATTGAAACACTTGTTTTAAATAGGTTTAATAGGTTCTTCATTGTGCAACATAGGATTTAAAAAAATATCACAACGAAGGTATTTAAAAAAAGTTTATTTTTTTTTACAAAAAAACTACATTAAAATGATTCTAACAAAAAATTAAACAAAAACAACAAAAAAAAAAAACCACAGAAGGAAAATCACCACGAGGAAAAATTAAAATAATCATTCCCAAGAAACATTTGCAGCAATGTCAAAAAAGTTCTGTTATAAGATGAAGGCTTTTAAAGATTTTGGCAATAGATCTAAATCCAAAATTTTCAGATTCTTCTTAAGTATGTAGTTGATATTAACGGTTTAGGGCAGTTAATTTAATCAACATTTTGTCCTCTGTGCCCAGATAAAATATCAACAAAACTGGAAATTGTTCGGCCAAAAAAGTGATTGATGTAATACTCAATAATAGTTCCATGAGTTAACTAACCTATTATAGAGGGCAATTTGCAAAAAGATTTTTTTTCAAAGAAATTAAAATTCTTAAAATTGTAGATTTCTTTTATAGGGAGAACAACTTAATATTTTAAAATAGTTTTTCCTTCAAACCACCCTTGACATTTATGCAAATTTGATTGTTAAAACTATTTTAATTTGATCAAAAGATAATTTTTAATTATTTTTTTCGACTAAATAATTCTAATGATTAAGTTCTTTTTCAAAGTAATTTTGCTGTTTAATTTTGCAATAAATAAATACAATAACAGTTCAACTAAATAATTTTCAGTAGAAACTAAGTTATTTCTGAAATAACATAGTCTGAGTAATACTAGGAGTTAAGGATGTTTGAAGGTTTAGGGGATTTGTAGAAGTTTTAAAAAATATGCTCACGTTTAATTAACATTTCTAATAAGGTAATGAAACAAAATAATGTTATTTATAACAAATAAAGTACGAGATAAAATGATAATTAAAACACTTATTTAGTTAAAACATTTATCTTAGCACAATATTTTGATTTTTTAAAACACACGACAAATTTCAGATTTGAATTCATAAATGCTGGTGTTCCTTAACACCGCTGAGAGACAGTAAGCAACTGCAGACTTGGACGAAAAATGGCTGTCATAAATATGCATGTGTGTTGCCACTCTTCCAAATATTGCTATTCTGATATTTAACACAACAAATTTCACTTTGAATTTGAGAGGTTTCCCTGCATGACACATATAGCATGTAGCTAATAGAAAACTGCCTTAGTTCGTAATACAGGGTGATTATAACTAAAATATTGCCATTATGATACTTAACACAGCAAATTTCGCTTTGAATTGGAGAGGTCTCCCTGCATGACACATAATATAGCATGTAGCCAATTGAAAACTACCTTAGTTCGTAATACAGGGTGGTTATAACAAAAATATTGCCATTTCGATATTTAACACAGCAAATTTCGCTTTGAATTTGAGAGGTTTCCCTGCATGACACATATAGCATGTAGCTAATAGAAAACTGCCTTAGTCCGTAATACAGGGTGGTTACAACTAAAATATTGCCATTCTGATATTTAACACAGCAAATTTCGCTTTGAATTTGAGAGGTTTCCCCGCATGACGCACATTATACCATGTAGCCAAAAGAAAACTACCTTAGTTGGTAACACAGGGTGGTTATAACTAAAATATTGCCATTCTGAGATTTAACACAGCAAATTTCGCTTTGAATTTGAGAGGTTTCCCTGCATGACACATATACCATGTAGCCAATAGAAAACTACCTTAGTTTGTAATACAGGGTGGTTATAACTAAAATATTGCCATTCTGATATTTAACACAATAAATTTCGCTTTGAATTTGAGAGGTTTCCCTGCATGACATATATTATACCATGCAGCCAATAGAAAACTACTTTAGTTCGTAATACAGGGTGGTTACAACTAAACAGCACACAAGCATTTGTTTTAATTGATATATTATAAAACATGTTACAATTCTTTAAAATATAAAAATTATTTTGAAACAGTTTTTATGATTAAAAACATATAAAATCAATAGCTTAGAAAAAAAAAAAATTAAAACAGAAAAGATAAGTTTCCTTTGTTTTTTGTAACTTAACTTCCTTGCTTCAAAAATGTGCTTATAGATTTTCCTTTCTGATGTGGAAAACATGAACCACAAAACTCATTATTAGTTTATATATAACAATCCTGTACTACAAAAGCATTAGCAATCTCTTTTATATTATTCTTTTACAAAAAATACTATATTTCAGATTTGTATGAACAATATTATAAAGCATAGAACATTAACTTTCAATAGAAAATTATTCAAATTACTTTACATGGTAATTTAACAGAAGCACGAAAGTAGTCACTCACTCAAGATAAATTAATTTATAAATAATCACAACACTTTCAAACGTTATTTTACAGTTTATAGCACCAGTAGATAAATTAGATAATTTTAAGTAGTGTCCCAATTTAAAAATGGCTTAACTATTTTGATTTGCTAAGTGATATTTTAAAAAATGGCAAAATTTAGATTTAAAAATACAGGTTTCAGAATTTTATGCAAAACTTAACAATAAGCAAGCAATAAAAGACTGCCACAATCTTTGGTTTCAAGTTGGGACATACTTTTACAATTATGTTTGAAATACAATTTATCATTCAAATTACTCATATGAATGTGTGTAGCACCATACCTTTTCATGAAATTGGTTCACAACAGTAATACACTTTCCTTTATTGACTGTACTCTAAAATGCACACACACACTCTTTATAACTGCCCGTTCTTTGAATACATTGATGTATCACAGTACGCCTCTGGGCGCATTTATAATCAACAGAATTCATAAAGTTTACAGGACAGTGAAATTATAAAAAGAAAAAATGACTTATGACAGGTAAGGGACCAAGGCCGGTTTAACAAAAGTAAACCTTTCAACAACAGAACTGTATAACTTTGAGGCACTGTGAACATTTTAGCCTATCAAAACACAAGATGAAACAAAGGTTGTTTACCTTTGTTGAACACAGGAAGAGCAATTTTGCTGTTGATGATCTTCCTGACCGGGAAGATTATCACAACTAGAGGCTTATGAAAGACTTACGATACCCTCAGATACCATTATGTTGTTGTCTATTTATAGTATTTACATCCCACTGGTTCATTACATCACTATATGGAGGAGGTGGCTCATTATTATCATATTTGCTATCATTTTGTGTACATTCATACGTCCTATTTGAGATCCCACTGGCACCCAAGTTTACAGCAGCAGGCGGTAACCAAATTTGAGAAGTAATATTAGGGTTAGGTACAGAACACTTTAACCGGGCAGATTTTACACTTTGGGCATCACTAGAACTCACACTGTGTGATCGTGCAACAAAAACATCAGCTAAGGTTAATGAAGGTTTTTGACCAACAGAATTTGAACGAAATGGTGGAATTGTATTACCATCTGGAACAGTGCGGTTAGGAGGAGGCCTAATAAAACTACGAGTTATTTCAGCATGTTGATCAGGGTTATGCAACTTAAGCAGTTTTGAATCACAATGAGGACCTTCCTCACCATCAGGCAAAGCAATTGAATGAGGCAGATTTAAGGCTAAATCAGTCTGAATAGAATGAAGCCTGACAAGCTGATCTTGATGAGCTCCGCTTTCCAGTCTTTGTCTTTCTTGAACAGTAGCAGGAGAATACATCACCTATTAGAATAACAAAAAAATATAGAATAAAAGAAAAGTATTCATATTGTAAAAAAAAAATTAATTGCATTAGTAATTCTAATATTAAGTAATTCTAAGCACAGTTTGCTCAACAAAATAAAACTTAGTCAGTCAAATAACCAAAGAAGGCTAGATAATACAATAAAATGAAATCTAGAACTATATCTCTCTGAACTGAAACTACAGCACATACTTTTTAAAAAAATTATGAATACAGACTTTTCTCACATTTTGTCATAAGGAGATAAGAATGGCTAATGCTCCAATGAGCTGTTGTCAATAATTTGCTAGTATCAGAATTGAAATTTGCTTTAAGAAAACATATTGCTAGAAAGTAAAAATAAAATAAAAAATAACATTTATTATTTAACTTATTCCTTTATTTTGTTGATAACATCAAGGATAAAGAAAAGCGTTTGAAGCAGGGTTTGTTGATTTAAATCAGCTTGATTTAAATCAAATGATTTTTTTTAAAAAATCATTGATTTAAATCAACTGATTCTTCTTATATATATATTGATTTAAAAAGTTAAAAATCAGTGTTTTAAATTATTGATACTTTTATTATTTCTTTTCTTAGTTTTAAAATTTATTTTAAATAAATTGTAGCATTAATTTTAAAATTTATTATTGCTGCATTAATTAATTTTAGCTAATGAAATTACTTTCTTTCTTGGTATGTGTTAAATTCCAACACATTTGAAGTTGCATTTTTAAAAATCTTTTGATTCTTGAGATTGAAAGGACAGATTAAAGTAAACATTTAAGTATTTTTTTTCTCATAATATGTTTACAGTATCTTTGACATTATCAGATTTTCTATTAAGAAATTTTGCGAAAAAAAAGTTCGGTAATTGAAACTTTGTTTTAATAGTTAAAGTATTCTTTAAATTCTCGATTTCACCTACTCTTTAAATTTCAGTCATGCATTTGTTTCAAAATGGTTGCAATGCATTCAAAGCTATGTATTATAATGAAAAATTGTTTTAGGTAGTTAGAGCTTCTAAATATTCTTATAATATAGTTTTAATATTAATTTAATTTTGATTGAACATTTATAATGTTTTTTCAGTCAAAAATCAAAGTTCTTACAGTGCATTTGAATAAAATTTTAAAAAATCCGATTTAAATAAAAAAATCTATTTAAATCAAAAAATCACGAAGCCCCATTTAACATACTATGGGTGCATTAAATCATACAGCTTGAATAATTTTAACAAATAAAAAAAAATTGTGTAAAAAAAATAAACAATTAAAGTATGCCTAAAATATACATTAAAATAAATTTAAAATAAATTTTGGAATGTATAAATAAAAAATACATTTTCAAACAATTTTGAGTATGATGAAAACATCAACTTGCTCAAAATAAATGTCTGTCACAATTTAACTTTCATTCATGTGGCTAGGAAAGATTCCATTGATTCATTTGACTTTTAAAATTTATATTGTAAATGGATTTTTTTGAAGTCCTTTACATTTAAAGACTGGCAATCAAAAACAATTGTACTGCAGGGATTTCTTAGAAAGTTGTAACTACTTTTCTTAATCTAGGAGCCAAGTCATTATTTTACATAAAACTTATTTTAATATTGTATGAAGTATTTTAATTTGTTACACTGAAATTGTTACTAAATGAAAAATCCCAAGAAACTTAAGCAAAAAGATAAGATCTTAATTGGCTTCTAAAAAATATGAAGATAGTAATAAAAGTCTACAGGTTTTAAAGTAAAGTTTTTTTGAGCTTTCAAAACTTCACGTCGCGAGTCAATCAGTTTTGAGAATGGGTGCTTGCTTTTGAGGGCTTGAACAGGGTTCATGCTCTACTTTAGAAATAAAATTTAAGTACTTTTCAAGGACTTTTAAAGACTTATTATAAAATTCTCAAGGACTAAAATTTTACATTTTAAAATAAAATGTTTTGATGATAATAGTTAGTTGACGATAAATATTAGACGATAATAGCAGTACTGAAAAATAAGACTTCCATTGCTCTCTTGATTTCGGAAAGTGATCTAAGTATAAAAAAAGCAAGGGTGATTGGCATCAAGTCAAGAATAAAATTCATGATGCATAAAAACGTCAGATTTGAATTTTGCATAAGGCCTATTTTAAGCTAGGTATACAACCTCTGAATAAGCAAAGATTCGGGCAGAAGACGGGGTAGGGGGGAATGTTCTATATAATACTGTGATATCAATTAGATATTTAAAAACAACTCTGCCGGGAGACTTTTATTTAATATTTAAAGTGGCAGAAGCATTTAGACAGTGAAATTTAAATTGTTCTTAAATATAATTTTGAAATTTTGACCACTTTTCTATTTAAGAAAATTAATCAATTATTGGATGTTGCGGCTTAATTATCATTTTAAATTTATTACGGGTCAACCATTTTAAATTGAATCAGTTGCCAACTTTCACCTCAATATCTTCTGATAGATTCTTACTAACAATTTTGGTCACTTTGACTGTTTTAATTAACCACTCATACTTGAATAATTTTTTTTTCAGTAGCATCGATCATACGTACTTGACATGGTCACATGAACACGAATCGTAACGAGTAGTTTTCATATCGAGTATAAATACGAAAATCGATGTTTGATATTACAACATCGATGTTTGATATTGCAACATCGAAGTTTGATATTGCAACATCGATGTTTGATATTGCAACATCGATGTTTGATATTGCAAAATGCGTGAATACGAATCGCGACATTGGATTTTAAACTTGCGGAAAAACTAGTCGCGATATTGGGGTTCTAAAACGCTTAAGTACAAATCGCGATATTAGATTTTTAATTGCTTCAATGGGAATTGCAAGTACAATTTTTTAATCACACGAAAACGAATCGCAACACATGGCTTTTAAATCGGTTTAATACGAAGATCGTTATTAAAATTGTCTGAATAAGAATCGAGATTTTGTCAGAATCTGGCGCAGTTCCCAATATTTAAAATTCCTAAAATCAGCCAAACATTCATAAAATCAAACAGTACGTGTCATCATCTGAAAGGCGGGAAAGTCATTCTCTCACACTTGCGTGCGTCCAAAAGTTAAACACAAAAATGCTGGAAATAGGGCTGTTTTCCTGAGTTTTTGATACTTTTCAAGGTCATTTTGAATTTTTCAAGGATTTAATATCATTTTCAAGTACTTCTAGGGGCCCTTGAAAATCAAAATGAAATTCAAGTACTTTTCAAGGTTTTTTCAAGGCCGCGGGAACCCTGCTTGAAACATGTAGACTTTTATTACCATTTCAGACCTGCCAACTTCAGAAATTCAAAATGCCCGAGACTTTTGTTGATCATGATATAGCGCAATAAGCAAAATAATTTTTCAAAGTTTATTTTGACAAGTAAGAACAGAATTAAAGATAAATTTTTGATATGTGGCTGAATATTCTCTCATTGGTCATATTGCTGCAAAGAATGGTTAAAACCACCAATATGCTAACAACATGCTATTAATTTAAATTTTTTATCAATTTTTAAATTTTTTATCAAATTTTTTTAAATTTTTTATTTTGACAAGTAAGAACAGAATTAAAGATAAATTTTTGATATGTGGCTGAATATTCTCTCATTGGTCATATTGCTGCAAAGAATGGTTAATACCAACAATATGCTAACAACATGCTATTAATTTAAATTTTTTATCAATCCCATTAACAACAAAAAAGGAAAAATTCACAAACTAGCTCTTATTCTCAGCTTTTTGGTGTGAATTAAGACTTTACTCTCGAGGAAATCATCCACGCAAGCCTTGTTAAAAACAGTGTTATACCTAAATTTTAGGTGATTCAAACATTTAATTTTTTTTTTAAAAAAAAAGAAAGGGTTTCTAAAAAGGAATTAAGATAAACTAAACACATTCAATCTTCAAAGCATGTGTTAGACCTCCAATTCAAAGCTATTTCTACAAAAAAAAAAAGCCTGATGAAATACTTTGTTGGTCTGAGATTTGATACAAGAGCTTGAGAGATAGCAGATATGCCATCTTCATATTTTTGTAGCAAGTAATTTGTGCGCTCAGAAATAGGCATCCATTCTCAAGATTTGCCAGACGTGAATAAGGATAAAGTGATTTGAAAACCAAAACTACGAACAGCGTAGTAGCCAAGAGTGAAACAGAAAATGAAAAAAAAAATGAATACCTTGCCAGAGAAACCTTGACTACATCGGACAAACCAGACGCTTTAAAATGCAACGAAAAAGAACAAAATCGCCTATTATTACAATCATATTTTTCTGAAGGAAATAAAGTTTTAACCAAATACTGGGTAAAATTTGGGTTTTTCTCACTATTTTGACAGAATCTTATGCAAGTGGAAGTAAAAATCTGTATTTTAGTATTCGTGCTATTTTTAAAGAAGTAAGAAAACTGTAGCCGAAATATTGTAATTATATAATTATCGTAAACTTGAAGATTTTGAAATTAATGATTTTGTACCAAAATATTTAGTTATTGTAACTGAATATTGTATTAAATAAAAATATAATAAAATACATTTTATCTTCTTAGTTTTGCTGCCACCATTTCAGTTTCTTAAGGACTTCAAGAACCTTACTAACTCTGTTTAAAAAGGAGAAAATTGTATCAGATATATGTATGTAGTAATGCTAGCAAAGTTTTACATCGTGCAAGTCAAAAAGAGAAGTTCAAAATTGGAAATAATGTAAGCTCTTACATTTAACGAGGTAGAAAATATGTATATAAATCTTAATCTAAAAAAGATTTTTAAAACCATCATTTATAATTACTTGAACTATTTAATTTTATAACCGTCGTTGAACAGCCAACCCAATTTTTTGGGATTACGACTACTTATGTTCAACTCCGTAGCCTCGTAATTTTTAATCATCTCCAGAGGTCAATTGAACTCCTGGATCAAGTATTGAGAGAAATTTGTCCTTGTGGAGGACTTTTTGATAGAACTAACCCGCATTTGCGTTACATGGAGAGGAAAACTACGAAAACCCACGGTTAGCCTGAGGGCAAGGGGGGTATTTTTGCCATCAGCGGATATTTATCACCAAAATTCTTTTAAATAAATTTCTTCAAAAAATATGGAGATATTTGAGAATATACGGGTAAACAGGAGACAATCATAATATACAGGAGATTTCATTAAAATTCAGGAGACTTGGCAGGCATGATACAATATTCTTAAATGTATATATACAGATTTCAATGTTTTTAAAATGCCACGTAGCAATCACAAATTTCTTCAGTTATAGAAAAAAGAAACATCGCAAATTATATAAAACCTTGTGATGTGCATCATAATTACGTATTCTCTCTATTTTTTCTGGGGTTTTTTCCCCCTGCCTAGAAGACTTGATATCATAGCAGTAAAAATGATTAGCCATACAAGTTTGTAGATTATAATATATATTTGTTTTACAAAATCTTTTTTAGTATGAAATTTTCATATAAATTTCATAAAACATAAAAAAAACACAATGTCATAAAAGTTCATGCACTAGTTTTAAAATCTTGAAAAATCATACATAATTAAATAATTTATTAATTGATTCAAATTATATTTTCAACAAAGATTAAAAAGAAAAACAATCTTTGCTCTTTAGTCAGAAATCAGCCTAAAATATGTGCTACCTAGAAATTAATACATTTTCCTATAAAAGACTATTAATAAATAATAGTGTTTCATTATTTATTAATAAAATTATTAAAAGGTTTTCCAAATTAACACAAAACATTGAATAAAAAAGCCTTACACTTTTAATTCAATCTTTGTATTGTCACAACTTGGTTGTTTAGCAACAGAGAAACACTGGGTATTGCTTCTTTTGCCAATCACAGTTTATAGTTACGGCAAAATACAGATTAAGCTTCCACTTAAAGTTTGACAAAAATCACCATGATAAATGGTGAAGGAAAAATGGACTTTTTTTAAAAATTAGCATGTTTAAAAAAGCGGACGCGTTATTCGATTGTATTAAGTACAAAGCAAATTAAAAGTAAAACTAAATAATTTAAATAAGTAAATTATATTTTAAAAGTTTACCTTTCACCTTTATTTTCTTTTCAAATTATTAAATTATTATTATTATCAAATTATTATTTCAAATTATTTTAATATACATTAAATAACAACCATTTTAAATCAGAATCCGAAAAGTCTTCAAATGATGTGCCTGAAATTGCGTGAATATGAATTGCAAAGTTAGATTTTAAAATTGTGAAATAAATATCGTGTGAATATGAATAGCAATGTTTGATTTTGAAATGGCATAAATATAAATCGCAAATTTTGATTTCAAGATGGTGGAATACCAATTGTGATAGGAATTTTAAAGACACGTGAAGATGAAATGAGATATTGAATTTTAAAGACCTGTGAATACAAATCACATTTGATGTTTAAATAGATTTAAATCGAGTGAATACGAATCGAGATGTCTAACATTTAAATCGCGTCAACCAATGTTTGATATTAAAAATTTGTAATCGCAATATTAAAATTTTAAATCAAGTAAATACGAATCACAATGTGTGATTATTTAACCGTATAAAAATGAATCACAGTGTTTGATTTTAAAATCACTCGATTTTGAATCTAGATAGTTGTTTTTTTTAAATCGTAAGGACACTCCAGGAATTTTAAAAAAGCATCTACAAAATTTAAGAACTTCACATGTGTACACGTGCAGGACATGCACCTATATTATCTAATTCTGGATGGGGCTTATTTGGTTTTAATGCAGGTCAATATTTTGTATGAAATCATGGACAAAGGCGTAATCAAATCAGGGAGCTTGTTCAGTATTTTACAGTATCTTAAATTGCTCCACTTGCTGTGGCAATATTGTTTGGCCTTCTTTTGGGACTATCACTAAATATAAATAGTCTCGTAAGTTATAATTATAATATAACGGAGATTTTACTAACCAACCCAATTTTGGGTTCATGACCACTGGTGTTCATCTTGTTATTTTGAACCCAATCCAGAAGACAAGGGAACTCCTGGATCAAGAATTGGGAGAAACTTTCCTCTGTGGAGGACTTTTTGATGGAACTAACCCGCAGGAGTTACATGGAGAGGAAAACCACGAAAATCTATCACAGTTAGCCTGACAACAAGGGGACTCTAACCCGTGATCTGTCTACCACTGAGGATATTTCACGCCAGTACTATAGTCGATGCAAGCCGGATGCGGATTGCGCATGGACTAGTTATCACTGGGAATCGAACCTGGGTTTACCTCAATGGAAGGCGAACGCTCTATCCCCAGAGCCATCACAGTGAGACTTAAATAATTAACACTCAACATACTTCAGTACTGGAATTAACACCACCTGTATTTTAGCCATCAGTGAACATTTTATCTCCAATTTTTTATTTTTCATTTTCTTTGTCTTTTTGATTTCTTCAACAAATACAGAGAAATTTGAGAATATAGAGACAAACAAGAGATAGTCGTAAAATACGCCAGTACTGTAGTACTCAATAATACGCCAACTGACGTCCCTTGTAAAATACGCCAGTACTCAGAGAAATTTGAGAATATAGAGACAAACAAGAGATAGTCGTAAAATACAGGAGTCGTCGTTAAAAAACAAGAGACTTGGCAGGTATGTATTAGGCAGCACTAATTAATATACTTGAAGTGTCCCCCTAAATCCAATAGCACTGACATTTAATACATGGAAATTCGATCATAAGAATAAAAGTTATTCAGAGTTTTTTTTTTTTTTAGCACCATGCCTGATTGGACCAGATAATTTTGAAAGAGTTATAACCCCTCAGTTCCTAAAAAAACAAAACATGAAAACTCTTTCAACCAATTCAGTTGGTTCCCTGTATATCAACATTCTTAAAAAAAAAGAGGACAATGTTACACAGAGAACCTTAACTTACTGCAGATAATAGATTTTGGTGCTTTTCATCACTTATTTACTGACAAATAAAAAGTTTAATATCTATGGTCGCGAATGCACTTTAAAAATGTTATTTTTAAAACAGACTGTTTCAATTAAAAAAGCAATAAATATTAAGCATTTCATTAATCAGGCTTTTAAATGATTATATTAAAATAAATGAAATAAAAATAAAATAATAATTCTTTTTAATAAATGCAAGTAAAAAAAATTCCTACTTGTCTTTTATAGTTATCACTAAGAAATGATGGATGATCAGTTACTCAGTACAACAGTAATGCTAAAATTCTGGGTACTCAATGCTACCTCTCATTTTCTGCCGACACTGGCTTCAAGCATTGGATCAGCAATCTAGATACTTAAGAGCAGTGGAGGTGCCCCACAGATTGAAAACCCCAGATTTAGTTAATTGTGTTCAAGGTGTATTCTTTAATTATTGAGTTTTCCAGACACATGAAAATTTGTTGAATAGACCAAAGGTCATTCAGAGATACTGTGCATGCAAACAATATTAAAATAAGCAACATACTGAAGTATTAACAGGTGTTGTGTACTGCTGCTGAGGCTGCCTAGTTGTCTGTAGTTGTCTGTTTCGCTGGTCACTCCAAGATCTTGCTCCCATCTTGTAATGACTAAGGACACATGTAATAAGTCCTACGGCGAATAATATGGTTATCACAATAAGAAGGATCTGTACAGCAGACACTAAAAAAGAGATCAAATAACAACTTAGCAAAGTAACCTTTAAATATAAAAGACAAAAAGAGCACGGTGTAACAAAGATTTAAGAAAAGAAAAAAAATCATGGCTCCAAAAAATATTTGTTCTATGATATGGGAAAAGAATTTTACAATAGCAATGGAATTTGCAAACTATCAATTAAATGTTAATAAACATTTAAACATATATCTAATGCTTATCTTTTTAACTTTGAAACAAGTTTAAGAAGAAGAAAAAAAATCATTTATTTATTAACAAATTTGTTTAATAGTTCCTCAGAAATAACTTATCTTTCTTGAACCTGATTTAAAGTTATTTAATTAATATTTTTTGGAAAACACAGAGACGCAGTTTCAAAGTAAAACAAAAAGTGGAGGATTATAATTTTTAAAAGTTTAAGTTGGTGTTTATTTTTAGATACTTTCATCAGAGATATTCAAAATCCTTGAATCAATAGAGTCACATACTCAAAATATTAAAAGGAAACTATCAATGATTTAGGTTCTTCGCCAAGTATAAAAATCACACAAATTACTTTTATTTATTTATTAAATTATATAAAACAAGTTATAAATTACAAGAATGTGATAGATCATTTGCCCCATTCTAATACATTTGAATGAACAATGTAAAAAAAAAATGTAAATAGGAGTTGGGAATATATTGCAAGGTTATATTGAATCAAAACAGTTTGAGACGAATAAATGCTTCAATATCATAATAATAGTTCATTTCTATAGTAGGGGAAAGGGGTGCACGTTTCAACAGTTTTTACTGAAGAATTATTTGGGAAGTTTTATTGCTGTCAAAATCTAAGTTCTAATTTTTATTTACTAAATTGATATTTCAGGTAACCTCTCAATTTTTTCCAAAGGTCTAAGCCAAAGACAAAATACTTAATTTTACATATTTAGCGAACCATGTATTTTGTTGAAATCTACCCCTCCTGGGGGGCAGTTTTCAACGGGTGGTGGGGCACATTTCAACAATCGAAGAGAACGTAACAAGATCATACATTTTGGAATATTACCTTTATTCATATAATAATAAAAGTAATGAAGGAACTTATTGGATTAATTTAGGTTCTTTCTACATTATTTTGTCTTTAATAAAATCGAAGTTTATGGAGAATGTCATGAAAAATATAGCTCGAACTGTTCCGCCGCTTAAACTTGGTTGAGGCAGTTTCATTTTGATGTCATTTCTTTCTATGCTACTAATATCCTCTTTTTCTGGAATATAAAATTTCCAAGAATCTTCATAAAATTTACTTTACAGCTGTCTTCTATCTCTTCAATTTTTCCTACAAATAGAACTTTTTTTTTCTTTCCACAAAACTCAACTAGGACAAAGTCATTAACTTCTATTATTGTATCATCAGTTATCTCAAAATCCATCGGTTCTTCAATATCTGTAGTGGAAGGCATCAAAAAATCTTCACATTCTGATTCAGAGTGTAAAGAAATGTCATCTGCACATCAGAAGATTCAACAAATAATAATTTTTTTGATGGTTTTAACTTGAGCTTAATTTCATTTGAGATTGATTTCCCCTTCTTTTCCAATCTTCGAATAGTTTCTTCTTGAATGCGGTTTTTCTCAAGTGTTTCAGTCAATATTTTGAACTTTCCCTTTTTTCTACCTCTTTTTTTAGCCATGGTAATAGATTTAGGGTAAGGTCTCACATCTACAGGTGTTATTAACCTAGGCTAATTAGGTTTTCTTTCAGTTGACCTTGTTTGTGTACAAAAATTCCTTCTTCTAGTTCTTTTACTAGTACTTGGGAGACTATTTTACACCTTTCTTCAACAATTTGATCCACACAAAGAATTTCACTAAAATTAATAGAAGCTTATGAAACTGTAACAGAAAAAGGTTCAAAGTCTTCATCAGTAAAAATGGAATGTGAAAAGGGTCAGATTCCAGTTTTTTGGAAACCTGCAGTGATGTTTCGTATGTTAAAATATATGCAGTATTTGCTATTGCAGCCAAGTTATGTATGCTAATGGTCTTACCTGGATTCAATAACATCCAATCATTTTTTGCTACTCTCAATTTAATTTGAATGGTCCTATGACTCCAACATCCATAGGCTGCTGACAAGAAGAATGCGGAGGAAGGGGAACTAGCACAATACCATTATCCTTAGCAAACAGCACAGCATCCAGTGTACTGTGGCTTTCATGATTATCCATCACCAAAAGTATTTTATTTTCTGTTGAACATCATGTTTGCTTTTAATATGCTTCAGAACTTTGAGAAAAAAAAGTCCAGTCATGTATCCACTTTTAGGACTGTTGACTAAACTTGGTCCCTGGTGGTGCCCCAAATAACATAGTCATGGAACCTTGCCCTCGGAAAAACAAATACAGGAGGAACAGTGTTTTCTAAAGCATTGCATGCACATGGTAATCATGCTTGCTCGCTCTCCAGCAAATACCTGCCCCACCCGACGAGCTCCTAGCTTGGCAGAGCTGGAACAACTGTTAAAACTCCAGTTTCATCCAAGTTATATATTTGATCAACTGTAAAATGACCCGAAGTAAGAGCTCTCTCATAATTGTTGAAAAATTCTTCAACATTTTCCTTATTAAAAGCTGTAGCTCTTGCGAAACTGGTGTTTTACGGTTTTCTTAAAGTAAGCTGTGAGTGCTTCATAGAACCTTTAACCCAGTCAATTCCAGACGTTTTATTTTTGTCCCAGCTACTTGGAATTTCGGAGTTTGCATAATTATATCTTTGCATAATTATAGGCAAGTTGTAGAACTTATCCGTAAGTTAGACCATAATTAAGAATTGAACATGCAATTATGTATTCACAAAGCAGGATTTCTTGCTGGACGTCAAAAACTTACTGGATTGTGTATTTAGAACAGTAGCATTTTGTGTTAGTTGTACATTTTTGGTTTCTCCAACCAAACAATTATTTGACTTTCTTTTTTTTTTTAAACTATAAAATAAAGCTGAAAAGTCCATTCCAAATAAGTCTGCAGCTGCTCTTAAAGATTTAACTGACAGCTTCCATTGCTTTTTCAATGTTTTCTTCACTAACTTCTGGTTTAGTGCAGGTTTTTTTATTAAATGTTTGCATAAGAAGGTAACCATAAGAAGGTAAAATAACAGGATTCAGTATTTTATTAAATATAATGTTACATCTTAAACTTTTCAATTTTCTTAGAATTAAATTACTTTTATTCTAAATCAAATTTTCTTGAATATTTTTATAAAATTTTAAAATAATTATTTTATTGAATCTTTTGATGAATTCCTTGTTAATAAATTCTATTTTCAACAACAATGCAACTAACTGAATCTTGATTTTAAAGTTTTAAAAAAATTTCATATAACTGAAAATTTTTTTACAAACATGTTTCCTTGAACACATTTAATTTTTTTTCAAAAAGTTTAGAATAATGCCTTACAGAAAAAGTTGAGTATCTTAAATGTAACAACCGTAATTAATGGGCTTTTTGCAGAGTAATGACTTCTGTAAGATTACTTAACAAAAAAATAATAAGCCCAGGGCACCTTTCAACACTGTTGAAATTTGCCCCCTAAGCTCTGTTGAAATCTGCCCCTGGTACAGACATTTTGGTTAAAGTATTATCAACCACTTTAGAAAAAGACTTTTTACTAATAAATAATACAGTTAGAAGCAGAATTAAATAAACTAGTAGATGAATAAATATCACTTCCCTTATTAAAAGATTACTGGTAGATAAACAGTTTTAAAATCATAACTGACTTTTTACTTTTGGAATGTTAAAACATGTTCCACAGAGTAACACAACAGTGGTAAAAATAAAGTGCTTAAAACTAAATGTCAACAGTTATGCATAATTAAAGCCTATTGTCTGTCATATTGGCCAATCATTAAGCAATATTAGAAGGCAGAAATTCTAGTTGTTGAAAGGTGTCCCATGTTGAAATGTACCCCCCTATCCCCTATTATATAATAAAGTTAAGATTTAGTGAAGGAAGTAATTAAGGCTTATTGTGAATGTGTATAAAAAAGGGGGACAGATATTTTTATAATGGATTAACAGATATTTTGCCATTTATTAAATCAGCAAATAAATAATTAAAAAAAAGGCTAACTAAATAACACTACAATAGAAGGATCAAAGATCTTTAATAAAAAGTTTTTGTTATGCTACAAGAAACAAAGATTAAAGCAAATCAATGTGATAGATTGATAAATTTAATTTTAAAATTAGGCTGGGAATGTCTATATCACACCTGATAAGATGTTCTTGCTTATGCTTTTTCTTCCATCGAAAAGAATTTGATAGTTGATAATTGTTCCTTACTTTAAGGACAGCTTAGGATTGGATATACTGATTTTTCAACAAAAAAAAAATTATGAAAATTGTGAGAAACTTTTTTATCACTCCAAAACTCATAAGTTGTAGCCAGTGAACACAAAAAGTTCACTTTTATAACTAAATTTGCTGATCGTTTTCTTTTGAGGTTATGTACTCATTTCTAAGAAAATTTTCATCTTTTTTTATTGTACATATGAAGCAAAATGGAAACACTTATGGTTAAAAGACAACATGCCACTTTTCATTAAAAATTAAAACCACTTTTTTTTTTTTAAGTATAAAAAAAATAGTTCATTGTCAACATTTTCTTCTGAGAAAAAGGTTAAAACATTTGACCAATTTTATTTAGTTTTTGGAAAAAGAAAACACACTGAGTACATCAACAAAAAGCTGAAGAAATCAAAAGTGACCAATGAAATTTTTTACTTTCAAATTAAGTTAATTTACAAAACAATATTAAATAAATTTATATAAATGTTATAAATTTCAATCCCATTGCAAATTTGAGTATTAGGTTAAAAATTTGCAAAAAAAAAATAAATGCCTGTTAATAAATAAAAGAAACTAATGTTTATATCTACTTTTTCCACTGAATAAGCTAATAAAAAAAATGCTAATAAAAATACAACAAACAAAATAACTAATACACAAAATTACGAGG